CTAGAACAAAAATGCTCAGACTACAAATTGACATTGTTGTATAAATAAAAAAAGCCATCTGAAATAAGGCCTTATCCATCACCACTTTTGAGTGGGGTGAAGCAGCACATCTGGTCTCCAATCCTGTAACTGACGGGCTGAACCAGGGTTGGGAGCACTGTGGAGCTACCACTGCCTAGGAGGAAGGGAGTGCCTGGCATTAGTCACCAGAAACCAGGTCTGAATCAGTTCACAGAGTCCTGATTCAGCAAGTTAAACACTGGTGTGAAAGAGAAGACAGGCCCTCGGCACTCTGCACTGAAGTGGAAAACTGCTGGGAAACCTAAAGGAATGCCAGGAACATGGCTCTGGATATCCAGCAGAACCTGGGACTGGGACAGGCCACCCGGGTCTCCATGGGCTTGGGCACAGGCATGGGACATAGGTGTGCTGGGGGAAGATATCCTATGTCTGGGAAGGACAGTGACCACAAGAGGCATATGAGGTGGCCTTGGGAGCCCAAAGCCATGTTCAGTTTGCTTTTCCCCATCTGTTTTTGCTCACCCTGAGCAGATGATATGCAGGCTTATGCTCAGGCCTCCCGTACCCGAGAACGACTGCCCACAGTTACGCAAAGCAAATGTGTGTTTGGGGAATGCCACGTCAGCAGTCCTCCTAGGGTGCATGGAGGATCAGTGCCAGCCCTGCATGATGTTTACATAAGAGGATTTGATCTGTGCTTCCTAGTGTGATTCACTGGGCTCTGCCCCACTGGAGTAGCTAGAAGTTAATTCCTGTGCTTCCTTACTTGCTCCTGGTGCTCTGCTTTCTACAGCAACTGCGTCGGTAACAGTACCATTGCAGCAGGCGTTATGGTCCATTTTTAACACAGATATATTTAATTGGCATTTTTGGTTTTCCGCATATTTCTTCTAACCATATTTTCTTGAGCTTACAACCTTAATTTTTCAACTGCAAATCCTGCTTTCTTTATTTAGCTGAAACCCAGAACACTAACATTTAGAAATGCAGACTTGCCAGCACTGTTTAAACACCCTCCTTTAAATATGTAGGCTTGCAAAAATGAAACTGGTGCCCCTGTATTTTGAAGAGCTAAAAATGATACTGGTTTCAAAGATATGAAACATGAAAAGAAATTAAATGTTATGAAAAATTAAATTAAATTGAACTCTACTCGGTTTTCACTTGTGCTCGAGAAACTTGCACAGCTTTCTGTATAGGCAGCCACCAGGCTACCAGATCAGTTATCAATGACCAGATGTAGTACCAAGTTTGAGAATTTCACAGAATGTGACTGCAGTGCTGGCTTCGGGGGTTTGGCCTTTTTTGGCTATTGTTTTGTTGTTTTTAATTAGGGACAGTGGTTTCAAAAATATGCTTTCCCATCTCTTTTATAAGTACATAGGTTATCTATGTGAAGCTTTGGTGCTCCCTCTTCCCACCTTTCAGTCAGCGTACATATTTTGTTTCTCAGTTTTCTGACTTGAAACAGATCATAAGACTTAAGAACCACACAAGAATCTAACAAAGCTTCGCTTTTCAGTATTTTTAAGTGTTTTCCTTCCTCACACTTTAGGAGGGATATGCAGGCAAACCAGAAGGGATACTAAATAACTGTGTTTTGAGCAGGATTGAGAGTTTGGTACCTGCAAGCTCTGGACGTGACCAGCCCTCATTGGGCTCAGACTCTTGATTATTATACCGAACAATCCTTGCTCTCTATCTAGCATGACTGCTGCTATGCAACATTTTCATGCAGCTTTATTGTTAAAATGCAGGTTATCGCAACAAGTATGCACTTTGGCAGCTAATTTATCTTGGTTTGTTCTTCTTCCTGCACATTCATTTGTTTCATTTTTAAGTGTGGTGTGGCTTTCTGGATACTTTTTAAGATCAGCAGATGTTGCTTAAGGGAGAAGCTGGACTCCCAAGATCCATCTGTTGTCTTTTTTTGCCCGAATGGCTCTCTGGGGATGTTTCTGTTACTAGGGTTGCCATGAAAGGAGGCTGATGGCTGTTTGCACAAGCCCCAGTCAGGAAGTCCCTTTGGCTGCTTTTCATCTAGTCCCTTTCTTCTGACACGTCCAGCTTTGGTGGCCTACAAGGAGTCAGGCCTCCTCCTGTAAGAGCTATTGTGACCACTTGAGACACTCACACAAACCACACTGTCTCAAAGTACAATGAGAAGCAGAGGAATGTTGGCAAGAGAAAATTCTGTATAAGCTATGATTAAGACATTAACAGAACTGTTGTTTATTACTCAATTTTCTCCAACAGCAACCAAGATCAGAGGTTTTGTCTTTTATCCCCCAATAAACCCTTATCTGGATCAAGTTTAGTCATATTCAGTTTACAGATTTTCTGCCGGACTCCCTCTTACACGGGTTTTTCATGAACTTGCAAATGTACTTTATTCAGTTCAGCCCTGTTTGACCATTTCCTCCCCATTCATCACCTAAATCATTTCTGCACAATTCTGGATTTTGTTGCTTGCTGCTTTTTTTGGACCTACATGAAACCTATTTTTCTTTGAAAAGATTAATTTCATTTTGAAGTAATTTTAAATATGTCAGTTTAGAGCTGCTCTGGTTTTAATTAATTTTTCTTTGTTTTCAATATATTGTCATTTTTACATCTTACTTGAACAATCCAAAGGAATTATGTACTATGAAATATGAAATTTTATACTAAAAGTGTTGTCACAAAACCACTTTGCTTCCACTGCGCAATGACTGGCAATTTGCTCTGTATCTGTGTATGACTGCTGCAGAGCCATTGTGAGAGCTAACTACTGCAACTAATCAAAAGTGTCCATGCAGAGTGGTGCATGCAGTTGCTTGTGGTCAGAGCTAGCTGGACATAAGCCAGACTGGTCTGGATATCAGGTACTTGCATTAATCAAAAGTTCAGAGCTGTGTTGTTATGTCCTGCACGGAGCACTTAGATGAGCAGTGTCATATTGTTGGAGTTTCAGATTTCATATCAGAGCTGGCCTGCATCCTGGGACCTCAAAGCATAAGAGCAGGCAAGCAACTCTCACACCCATTCATGTAGATGTAACCCCTGAGGTATGTGTAAGGTCTTTTAATATTCCAGAGAAGACATTGGTTCCCAAATGCTGTCTTCTCCGTGTTTCTCAATTCCCCCCCCCCGTTCTTTCTGTTAGATGAAATTCCACCTTTGTCTTAGTTCATGCCCAGATGTCTGTACCTCATTTCAGACCGGCAAGGCTGACAGGTCTTGTGCTGCCAATGGGAGAGCAGTACCTGGAAGTGCAGCTGGCTCTTCTTAGAAATAAACTTCTCCAATACACTACTTTTTCAGGAGCCTCAGAAGCCCAGGCTTCCTTGGCCCTTTAACCTACCCACAGCTCCTCATCCAAGGCAGCACTTCGTCTTTTCCACCTTTTTGTACTCTGGTGTATTACAAAAGACTGGGATGTCTCATACTCAGCCATATCTCAGCTTATGCAGACTGGGATTTGATAGACACTAGGCACAATTTTCCAGGACAGGGTGAGGCTAGCCTCGTTAGGATGAGCCAGCACTGGGGACTACAGCCAAATCCTGAAGCACCGGCTATATCCCATTTGTGTGACTGCTCAGCCCCACACTGTTACTGAAGCCTCTTGCAGAGTTGTGTTATTCCTGTCCCTCCCAGCTGGTGCCACTTCTCTTTTTTTCTGCCCTGACAGATGTGGTATCTTTCAGAAGGGTGAAAGGGAGCATAAAACACTCATGTGCTCCATACCTCAGCTCTGCAGACCCCACTCTTGCCCCCAGCGCCTATAGCACAAAAAGGATAGCACAGAGCATTTTAAAAGAAGGTGCGGCAGTCACAAATAAATATGGAAGCTGAGGGAATAGAGCCATGAAAGATGATACTTGTATTCTATAGACCTTGGAGCTAACCCTCATTTGTAAATATCTCTGTTTTGCTTCTTGAGAGACCTTACTTCCCAGTGTGAGAGATGAGATAATAAGCACTTGGAGACATGTTAAAGTGATGTCAGTCAGTCCACAGCAATAAAAATACCAGGAAAGGTGTTTCCAAGCCTACAATGCTGCACCATAACAGTCTACCCGAGCTTTTGGTCTCATGGTTTTATTTATTTATTTATGCCCATTTTAACATGCAGAAGTGAAAGAGGTGCTTACCCACAGCAGCAAAGGGGAAGTTGGACAACAGTGAAAAGCCATCATTTATACAATCCAACCCAGAAAGAGAAATGAAAGAGACAGCAGAAGACCAAAAAAGGGCAAACTGCAGAGTCTGTACCCAAAATGTCAGTACCAATGATAACACAGGCTACCTGAAAGGCCAGGAAAATCCAGACATCCACCTACTCATTTTTCAGACTGTGTAGCATATGACTCGTTCAGATGGAGAAAATATCTGGAGCTGTCTGAAGGGCAAATAGAAGCCGCTAATCATCAAACTATTCAAGTTCCTCCAGAAGAGACATTTTGAAAGACAGAGATGAAGACACACCTTAAGCACATAAAGCAGGAAGAAGCAGATGGAGCTGCTTTCAAATTTTAAGGCATTTAATCAAATTCTGCCATCAGAATTTCAGTCTGCCTCATCCTGCATGTTAAACTCCACGTGCAGATGTCTCTGACTTGGGTCTCCTTCTTTGAGGATCAAGGACCTAGGCAGCAACTGAAATCTGCAGCAACTGGAATCTACAGCAACTGATGTGTGACCTCTTTGCATGCTTCATCTACTGCGTTGTTCAGCTTGTGAATTGAAATCAACAGCACCTCACAAAAATGCCTCCCTATGCCATAGGGATATCTGAGTTCAATGTGCATTGGCAGGTAATCTGTGGCTGAATTAACTCTGGCCAGTGATTTCAGATGGAAGTGTCTGTGGCTGGGCTTCTGAGTCTGCATGGAGACAACTGGATAAATGATCCAAGCATGCTGATCATTTTCAAGTTGCCATGAAAACATTACTCGTGCTTCAGCAGTCTAAGAATTAACCAATACCTTTTCACCCAGGTACGGATACCCCTTGTCACTAGGGCATCATTGCAGTGTTGTTGGATATGCTCACCAGAAAAGATATGCGTAGCTGAGTACATCACCATTTTGGTAGGATCCCATTTAATTGAACAGATTTACAATGAAGTTTTAACACTCAAAAAAGCTTTAGGAACTTAAGAATGTATCTGTGTATCTTTCTGCTGAAGAGGGTATTTGGTTGGTCAGCACTCTGCTCAGGCTCATTCATTTTCTATTTCTTCCTCTTTTCTCTGTCTTTCTAATGTATCAGCAAATTGCTTCTGCAGTCAAGGGTGGTTTTACACTAGATGCCTCTTCTTCCAGCAGAAAAATCAACACATAGAATTTACAACACAATTAGCAGCTATCTAGCATGGTTCAGAGGGTATGACACTCCAATACCATTTCAGCAATCTCGATTTTCTACCAGACTTACCACTGAAGGGTGTCCTGTGTTACAAAGTTCCAGCATTGCTGAATCAGTGTGGAATATGAGGGGAATAAATATCACACGTCTTGCTATTACACCAAATACCTATTAACTATACCAGAAATCGTGCCAGGTTGTCAAAACACTGAGGAGGCAATACTACTGTGCTGGCAGCAAAAGGGGGATGCATTGCTGCACCCCTGGGGAATGAATCTGGAAAGTCTGGAGCAAGGCATCTAACACAGACATGGCTGAATGGCAGCCAGTTCCCTTCACTGACAGCACTCTTCTGCATGGACCTAACCTTGTGTTGAAGTCTTCCGCTCTGTTGGACTCTGTGGAGGGAATGAGCTCTTGGTGCTGTATCTCCCAAGTTTGCTATGTCCCATTGTGTGGCACCACATGGGATAAGGCATGTGGACACTAATAATGCATTAGGTCAAGTAGTGGTTTGTCACTCAGAATGGAGAGCTCTTGTCACTAAACTACTGCCACACAACACCCATTCCTAGCCAGCCTCCTCTGCGTGCCTTCACCTTTCATATACCCAACCTATATGCCAGACACAGATAATTAGGTGATCCCAGATCAGACCTGTCTGATGCCAGGACCACAGCAGGACAGACAGATTACAATATGGCAATTGCATGAACTGATACAGCAGTGGGGAAATGTGAAGAGGTTGGTCAAATGGATGAGGCTTACTGCATGCAACTTTCCAGGTATGTATCCACAGCAACAGTTCACATCATAGTTCATAAGAGTGATACTACAGCTACTACTATTGCCAGCAGAATACTGCATCAGTTCTTTTATTAGTGTAAACCAATAACCCAAAATCACGCAGAATTTCATGGGTTTTATCATGGCAAAGCTGAAAGCAGGCTCTCGTTAGGCAAGCTTGTATTGTAAATAATGAGCCCAATCAGAAGTCATCCCTTTCTCTGAGAAGGTAACACCTGGATCATTACATTTAGTTCATCAAATGTAAAATTCTTAAAGTTAAGGATATATTTTCTCAATGGGTTAACAAAAATCAGACATACCTTGGACTTTAATTTAGGTGTATGATCATATGCGTGATTGGGCAAACAGAAACTAGAAGTAAACAAATGATAAAAAAGAAAATTTACCACTATATATTTAGAAAATCAAGTCATTAAGTAAAAATTAATGAGGGTTCACTGAAAATTAATCTTGTAGACAATCCTGAATATTAAAACCCCAGTGTATCATACCTACTGTTTTCTCCACTCACAAGTTTCACAACGCCACAAATAAAATGTTGAAACAAAGCCCTCCAATGACTTGAAGCTGTTGTGGACATTGAAGCAGGGCAGGAGCCCTGAGCCACTTGTCCTTGATGCAGGTTTGCCTTCAGCACACAGGCCTAGCCAAAGTACCAGAGCTGCCAAAGTATCAGTAACTAAAAGACACACCACAGATCCAAAGGCTGGAAAATTCAGTTTTAGGGTGCTCAAAAGTGTGTCCAAGTGATGCAAAAAACTGAAGTGATGCAAACTCGTTTTGGCAGCTCCAGCTTATTGAAACATTTCTGAAAGGACAACTTTTCCCCAGCAGACTCAACATTGGTACATGCATCGTTTCTGTGCAATCCATCATAACGTCAAGGCAAATGAGGCAATTTGAGGAACCGCAGCAAGAGTTATCTGGAAGAATGGTTTTATAGAGAAAGGTTAAAAGAGTTTAATACATCTAGTTTCATTAAAGCAGAGGTAGATACAGGCATGCCTCCAGCCAGCAAATGCTTAAGTAACGCAAACCTTAAGGACGGGGAAGAAATACTTGGGCTTATACATATGGGAACAAGTAGGAGTAAATGAAAAGAGGGTGGTGAAAGACTGAATATCAGGAAATCTTGTTGGCAGTGAAGAGCAGAGCTTGTGCAAATTTTTCAGAGGAAGTGGTTGGGAATTCCTTTAGTTATTTAAAAAAGAATTTGAAAAATACCAATAAACAAGCCACCAGGAGGAAGTCTGTACTAGCCAGAAAGTTGATTGGCTAACCCAACAGCCTCCTCTCTCCACATTTCTTTCTTTGCTTCGTTTATTTTCTACCAATTGACCATGTACAACACTTGGTAAAAGCAAAGAGAAAGTAACCTGAGGCACACTCATGACAGAAACACCAATGCCGGTTTAAGAGCCTATTTCCCACCATGAGTTCCTCCCAACTGAACCTGAGAAAGGGACTCCATGAACATTTCTCGTTTATTAAAGTGCAACATCACCTGGATTTGTTTCATGTACCACAGAAGAGGTAACCCCATGCATGACAGACAATGTGGTTCAAACATTTGGTTATTGCTTTTGCAGTCTGTCAGGCAGATCACCTCTAATGAGTACCAGCAGTTAAGGGGCTATAGCTTCTAATTAACTGTTCTGCCACCCTCCCAGAAGTTTCTGCTTCCATAGCAAAAGGTGGCAGGACAGAAACCACACACCTGTATTCTAGACATCCTGGTTCCTTGCCCAGAAAAAAAGTATAAATCATCAACCACTCCTGTGACATTACAGTTGGATGCTGACACTTGGGTGTCAGGAATAGTTTATACTGTAGCTCAGGAAATGTTGCGATCTTCACGTACACACCTTTTCACTTAAGTCAGGCAAAACTGAAGGCAGACCCACCATACCTCTTCTGGTGTTAAATTTACTTTGTCTTAGCAGTCATGCTAACAAAGCTCAAAACTGCTGCAGAATTCAGAGCACGGCTCCCCATATCAAAGCCTTTCTGACAGTTCTCCAGTAGAACAGGAGATTTCTTCATCTGATGAGACAGCTGTTGAACTTTACGCACTCATGTGATTTCTTTTTATCAACACAAGTATGTTTCCATAAGAACTATTTCTACGTTTTGTTATAGTTTATTACAAGAAAGTTGGAATTTTTTCAGTATAGGAATTGGTTTTTTTTAAAAAAAAACCTGCTCAGTAGGCTCAAGCAATACTGCAATATCCAAATGTTAATATTTATACACACTGCATGCACAAACCAAGCAATCTGAATAGCCTCAAACATGTATGAAATAAATTAACAGAATGCTTTTTGCTTTATCATTTACAGACATTGAACCATATTGTATTGTTTTTTCCTGCACAGAAAACAGTGGGAGTTCTGGACAAAGATGAAAGGGAGAATACATATTGTGAGCTATTTGTTTTATACACATCTAATAATATCTTTTGTAAAAGACATTCTGTATATAGAACAATTAAAAAATGCCCATATTTTAATGCTGTAAGGTTTAAGAATCATACATCCCATAATGGTAGGACTCACAGTTGTTCTCTCATTTATATCACGGCTTTTTTTTTGAATAGCACAGTTGGCATTTCCATTTTTACTCCAAGGCAGATTTTGTCATCCTTACATCTTAGTTTCATTAGAGTTCCCATTCATTTTAGTGGGTAGGATGCTCTACAGCATGAATTACAGCAAGAAAGTCTGGCTGCTCAGTTGTGCAACTCTGCATTTGAAATACAAGAAATAGAAAAGAGCTGACTCCTTTTCCAGAAAAATAGTGTGTGTACAGCAGTAGTCTAGTGAAGAAGGCAAAATTAGACTCTTACAGGGCTCACCATAATAAATAAGCAACACTAGCAGCTGTTGTCTTCGTTCTTCACTTAGATTTGATTGTGCTCTTTGATGTACATGTCCATCCCCCACAGAAGTCAAGATGTGAGCTTCTGCTCACAGCAGTGATAGGGCTTTGTGTTTACTGTGGTTTAGGTGGTTCCAAGAGCTGTGAACAGAGACTCATGTGCCTAAGTCACTGATTCATATATACCCTTTTTCAATGCAGTGGTCAAAAGATTATGCAAGTTTGAAAGATTAGTAAGAAGCCTTTAACTTGACTCTTCATACGTCTTCTGGAAATGATCACTGTTGCTGGGGAAGGCTTTGACCTAATGTTTCTCACTTTCTATTTTTCCCTTTAATATAAACTTAGTTGGTGCTGTGACCATAGTTCAACAACACAACAGTATCCAGAATTTCAAGGTGTCCTTAGGGCATTCTGAAAATAAGGAAGAGTGTATGTTATGACTGTGTAAGAGCCTGTCATGGTTTAAACCCTAGCCAGACAGCTTGTTCACTCACTCCCAGTGAGTGGTGCCGGGCTGAGAGCAATCGAGGCCCACCCACCCCCCCGGAGCTCTCCCCTTCCCCTCTCCCAGAGGAACGGGGAGGAGGATCAAAAGAGTGCAACTCCCATGGGTTGAGACAAGAACAGTCCAGCAACCAATGTACAACACAAATCATCACCGCTACCACCGACGACAACAATGATCAGAGAAAATAACAAGGGAAGAGAATACAATACCACCGGCCAAGAAACGAGTGCCACCTGGAAACCTGTGTCCTTCCGGGTAACTCCCAGTTACCCCCCTACCCCGGGCATGACGTGCTGTGGTGTGGAATACCTCTTTGGCTAGCCTGGGTCAGGCGCCCCGTCTCTGCTTCCTCACGGCTTCTCCTCCTCCCTGGCAGAGCATGAGCCTCACAAAGTCCTTGGTCAGGGTAAACATCACTTAGCAACAGCCGAAAACGTCGGTATCACCAGCACCGTTCCCAGGCTGGAAGTCAAAACACAGTACTGCACCAGCTACCACGAAGGAGAAACATGACTGCTACTGCTGAACCCAGGACATTATCCACCCCTTATTCCATACCATTCACGTCATGCTCAGATCCCACATTTTCAATACACCATCGCTCTCCCACATATATACATCCATATACACACAGACCAAGAGAAAGAGATCATTTTCTTAGTGCATGGACCAATCCCTGTAATGCTGCCGAGTCCATTCGGTCCATGATGTCAGGTTCCATCTCCTGTAACAACCTTTCAGGGCAGGAAAGGCTGTGTGCAGTACTGGATCATTGCCTGCTGCTGCTGGTTGTTCCTTTACTGTGGAACTCATCCGGTTCTATCAAAGTTCATTCTCTGTTGGGATGATGGTTGGAGGGAAGTCAGGGCTAGTTGCTGGTGACCTGGAGACATCTAGTTGATGGGCTATAAAAGTATTACACAGCAGGCAACACCATACAGTTAAGTTCATGGGCTGTTTTCCCCTAAAATCAAATCCCCTTGAGGTATACATCGGACTTCCCCATCTTCCTGCATTACCCACCAAGTATATCCAGGTCCCTGAGCAAAAGCAGTCCCACGAATGGGTTTGCCTTTACCTGAAGCAGGAATAACCCAGACTGTCTTCCCCAGCAAATTCTTCATATGCACCACGGGAACTCTGTCCCCCTCTACAATATGTAAAAGTTCTGACTGGGCTGGGCCAGCCCTGTTGGCAGATCCTCTGGTGTTGACCAACCAGGTGGCCTTTGGTAAGTGTGTATCCCAATGCTTGAAAGTTCCCCCACCCATTGCTCTCAGTGTAGTTTTTAACAGCCCGTTGTACCGTTCGATTTTCCCAGAGGCTGGTGCGTGGTAGGGGATGTGATATACCCACTCAATGCCATGCTCTTTGGCCCAAATATCTATAAGGTTATTCCGGAAATGAGTCCCATTGTCTGACTCAATTCACCACAAACTCTGTTTCTCAAGGCCCAGGATAGTGTTCCGGGCAGTGGCATGGGGTACGGCGTATGTTTCCAGCCACCCGGTGGTTGCTTCCACCGTGGTAAGCACATGGCGCTTGCCTTGGCGGGTTAGTGGCAGTGTGATATAGTCAATCTGCCAGGCCTCCCCATATTTATACTTCAACCATCGTCCTCCACACCAGAGAGGCTTTAACCGCTTGGCTTGTTTAATTGCAGCACATGTTTCACACTCATGAATAACCTGGGCAATAGTGTCCATTGTTAAGTCCACCCCTCGATCACGGGCCCATCTGTATGTTGCATCTCTGCCCTGATGGCCTGAAGTGTCATGGGCCCACCGGGCCAAAAATAATTCACCTTTACGTTGCCAATCTAAGTCCATCTGAGCCACTTCAATCTTAGCCACTTTATCCACTTGTTGGTTGTTCTGGTGTTCCTCAGTGGTCCGACTCTTGGGTACATGGGCATCTACGTGATGTACCTTCACCACCAGGTTCTGCACCCTGGCAGCAATATCTTTCCACAGTGCAGCAGCCCAGATGGGTTTACCTCTGTGTTGCCAGTTGCTCTGCTTCCATTGCTTCAACCACCCCCACAGGGCATTTGCCACCATCCATGAGTCAGTATAGAGGTAAAGTGCTGGCCACTTTTCTCGTTCAGCAATGTCCAGGGCCAGCTGGATGGCTTTCACCTCAGCAAACTGACTCGATTCACCCTCTCCGTCAGCAGTTTCTGCAACTTGTCATCCAGGACTCCATACAGCTGCCTTCCATCTCCGATGCTTTCCCACAACACGGCAAGACCCATCAGTAAACAAGGCATACTGCTTTTCACTTTCTGACAGTTTATTATATGGTGGGGCCTCTTCAGCGCGCATCACCTCCTCCTCTGGTGACATTCCGAAATCTTTGCCCTCTGGCCAGTCCATGATGACTTCTAGAATGCCTGGACGACTGGGATTTCCTATTCGAGTTCATTGTGTAATTAGTGCAGCCCATTTACTCCATGTAGCATCAGTTGCATGATGTGGAGAGGAGACCCTGCCTTTGAACATCCAGCCCAGCACGGGCAACCGGGGTGCCAGGAGGAGCTGTGCTTCAGTGCCAATCACTTCCGAAGCAGCTCAAACCCCTTCATAGGCTGCCAGTATCTCTTTCTCAGTTGGGGTATAGCTGGCCTCAGATCCTTTGTATCCCCGACTCCAAAAGCCGAGGGGTTGACCTCGAGTCTCCCCTGGAGCTTTCTGCCAGAGGCTCCAGGTAGGACCATTCTCCCCAGCTGCAGTGTACAGTACATTTTTTACATCTGGCCCTGTCCAGACAGGTCCAAGGGCTACTGCATGAACTATCTCGCGTTTAATTTGCTCAAAGGCTTGTTGTTGCTCAGGGCCCCATTTAAAATCATTCTTCTTCCGGGTCACATGATAGAGAGGGCTTACAATCGAACTGTAATTTGGGATGTGCATTCTCCAGAACCCCACAGCACCCAAGAAAGCTTGTGTTTCTTTCTTATTAGTTGGTGGAGACATTGCTGTTATCTTGTTGGTCACATCTGTGGGGATCTGTCTACGTCCATCTTGCCATTTTATTCCCAAGAATTGAAACTCCTGTGCAGGTCCCTTGACCTTACTCCGTTTTATGGCAAAACCGGCTTTCAGCAGGATTTGGATTATTTTCCTCCCTTTCTCAAAGACTTCTTCCGCTGTATCGCCCCACATGATAATGTCATCAATGTATTGCAGGTGTTCTGGAGCTTGCCCCTGTTCCAGTGCATTCTGGATCAGTCCATGGCAAATGGTAGGGCTGTGTTTCCACCCCTGGGGCAGTCGGTTCCAAGTGAACTGGACACCCCTCCAAGTAAAAGCAAACTGTGGCCTGCACTCTGCTGCCAAAGGAATTGAGAAAAATGCATTGGCAATATCAATCGTGGCATACCACTTGGCTGCCTTTGACTCCAGTTCATACTGAAGTTCTAGCATGTCCGGTACGGCAGCACTCAGTGGTGGTGTGACTTCATTCAGGCCACGATAGTCTACTGTTAGTCTCCATTCTCCATTAGACTTTCGCACTGGCCATATGGGGCTATTAAAGGGCGAGCGGGTCCTGCTGATCTCTCCCTGACTCTCCAGTCTATGGATCAGCTGATGGATGGGAATCAGGGAGTCTCGGTTGGTGCAGTATTGCCGCCGTTGCACTGTTGTGGTCACAATTGGCACTTGTTGTTCTTCAACTTTCAGCAACCCCACAACAGAAGGATCCTCTCAGAGACCAGGCAAGGTGGACAGCTGCTCCATTTCCTCAGTCTCCAAAGCAGCAATACCAAAAGCCCACCGGTACCCTTTTGGGTCTTTGAAGTACCCTCTCTTGAGGTAGTCTATGCTGAGGATGCATGGAGCCTCTGGACCCGTCACAATAGGGTGCTTTTGCCATTCCCTCCCAGTCAAGCTAATTTCAGCCTCCAGCACAGTCAACTCTTGGGATCCTCCTGTCACTCCAGAAATATAGATGGGTTCCACCCCTTGACAGCTTGATGGCATCAGGGTACACTGTGCACCAGTATCTACTAGAGCCTTATACTTCTGTGGGACTTATGTGCCGGGCCATCTGATCCACACAGTCCAGTAAATCCGATTGTCCCCTACCTCCACCTGGCTGGAGGCAGGGCCCCTCTAATGGTCATCACAGCATTGGACACTTAAGTCATGGTAAAAGGGATTATTCTTCGTTATCACAGGAGCTGGAGTAAAATCAGCTCTTCCACTCCATCTGGGAAACTGCTCACCAGAGACTGAAGCTGTAGCTCTCATGGGATGATCAGTCTTGGCCCTTGCTCCCCTCTTCAATTCACTCACCCGTTCCTCCAAAGCTGAAGTAGGTTTTCCATCCCACTTTGTCATGTCTTCTCCGTGATCCCGCAGGTAAAACCACAGGGTACCCCGTGGCGTATACCTCCTGTATCTCCTCTCTCGAGCAATAAGATGCCTTTTGTTAATAGCTGAGACCTGTGTTGGTACACATGAGGAGCTGGGTAAATCAGATCACACACAGTATGCTAGAGATTGGAAGGGACCTTGAAAAAACATCTAGTCCAATCCCCCTGCCGGAGCAGGAGCACCTAGATAATGTTACACAGGAATGTGTCCAGGCGGGTTTTGAATGTCTCCAGGGAAGGAGACTCCACAACCTCCCTGGGCAGCCTGTTCCAGTGTTCCGTCACCCTCACTGAGAAGAAGTTTCTTCTCAAGTTTAAGTGGAACCTCTTGTGTTCCAGATAGCTCATCCCTCAATTGTCTGAGGTCCTGGAACAGTTTTTCCACAGCTGAGATGATGGAAGGGGTGAGATTGTCTTCGAACTCTCAGAGTTTATGAACCATTTCATCCACTGTTAGTGGTACTATGTCATTCCAGGTTACTGTTGCCAATGAATGGGCATATGATGACGGTGCATTCCGTGTCAGTTTTCGCCACATGGGTCGTGTACATTCAACTTCATCTGGATCTATGGGTGTATCCCCGTTATTCGGCTTGATGTGATAGAGCATCTCTAAAATGGCTGATTCCCTCAGAGACTGGATGCCTTTGTCTATAGTAGTCCGCTTGGCCGAATGACTCATAACATCGTCCTTGTATGGAAACCTTTCTTTCACAGCTGCCAAGAGCCACCTCCAAAGACTGAGGGACTTTTTCTCTCTTGGAATTGCTTTGTCAATTCCCCCTTCTCTAGCAAGTGATCCCAGCTGCTTGGCTTCTGTACCTTCTAGTTCGTGACCATCAGCCCCACTGTCCCAGCATTGGAGTAACCAGGTGATGATGTGCTCCCCTGGTTGACGGGTAAAATCTTTTCGCATATTCCGCAGCTCGGTTGAGGTCTGAGGTTGAGAAGTTACCTCTTCTTCTTCGTCATGTGATGATGACTCCTGATCAGATGCTAGACCGGGTGGTGAATACATTGGTTCTTCATCTCGCTTCACCCTTCTTGCCTCTTTTTTGCTTTTTTCTTGCGTACAGGGGCAACCGATATTGGTAAGAATTGGTCCTCTGGTTTGGCTGCAGTGATTATCACTGTGGTTTGAGTAGCGACTGTACTTGTTGCTGGGGGTGGTGAAGCTGCTGTGCTTGAAGCTGGAGTAGCTGCGCTGACTGTTGCGTTGCCCTCAGATCCACCGACATTCTTTTCCTTTTGAAGGTCCTGGATAGTGTTGAACAAGGCCCTGTAAGCATAACCCAAGCCCCAGCACGTTGCCATGATTTGTCCGTCTCTGGTATGGCCAGAATGACCACACCTCATTTAAGTGTTTTACTAATTCTTCTGGATTTTGCAGTTGGTCGGTAGTGAAATTCCAAAGTACTGGAGGGGCCCACTGACCTAGATACTTGCCCATACTATCCCACACACCCTGCCACTCATGGCTGTCCAGCCTCAGGGAAAATCTCCTGGTCCTCCTACATCGTCGTTTGACCTCAGACAAGACCCAAACCTGAATCTGCTTAACTCTTGAAATCAGTCGTGGGCAAAACACACTCTATATGCATGCTAGCATGGTGATTCCCATCACGATCAGCAAACAAGTCTCAACAGCATTAAAAGGCCATTCAAAAACTTCAAAACTCTCAAATGGTCTTGGGGGAGGACTGGGAGGATAAAAGGATGTCTCCTTCACAGGTTGAGTACCTGAGAAGGAGAAAAAAGATGTGGAATTGCTAAGCACTTCTGTTATATACCTCCCAAAGTATAAAGGCGGTGACCACACTGGGAACATAAGCCAGATCAGTTTCATGATCAATTATTCTATTGTATTACAAGTCATTACCATAAAGTACAATGAGACAAAAACCTTAGCCCAAGCCCCACACTTGAAAAACACCAATACAGCAAATACCGGATGGAAGGAAGATACGATACACTGAAACTGTGAGATCAAGAGAAACAACCTTGAGAGCCAATAAATCAGCACTGTGATGAGTGACTATTCATCCAGACAGATCTGTCGTTATCTCAACCCCTTGTGCCCCATGTTGGGCGCCAAAAGAACTGTTGTGGTTTAAACCCAGCCAGACAGCTTGTTCACTCACTCCCAGTGAGTGGTGCCGGGCTGAGAGCAATCGAGGCCCACCCACCCCCCCCGGGGCTCTCCCCTTCCCCTCTCCCAGAGGAACGGGGAGGAGGATCAAAAGAGTGCCACTCCCACGGGTTGAGACAAGAACAGTCCAGCAACCGATGTACAACACAAATCACCACCACTACCACCGACGACAACAATGATCAGAGAAAATAACAAGGGAAGAGAATACAATACCACCGGCCAAGAAACGAGTGCCACCTGGAAACCTGTGTCCTTCCGGGTAACTCCCAGTTACCCCCCTACCCCGGGCATGACGTGCTGTGGTGTGGAATACCTCTTTGGCTAGCCTGGGTCAGGCGCCCCGTCTCTGCTTCCTCACGGCTTCTCCTCCTCCCTGGCAGAGCATGAGCCTCACAAAGTCCTTGGTCAGGGTAAACATCACTTAGCAACAACTGAAAACATTGGTATCACCAGCACTGTTCCCAGGCTGGAAGTCAAAACACAGTACTGCACCAGCTACCACAAAGGAGAAACATGACTGCTACTGCTGAACCCAGGACAGAGCCATAATAAATGTTACTATTTTTAGGTAGGCTGTGCATTAGTCAGTCCCTTAGAGACTTAGGATCTATTATACTATCCCAATCTATTATACTGTTGTGACAGCTGAAATTCCACCACGTGTTCAAGCACTTCAAACCTAACACAACATGTTGATCATGTACGGAAACAAATGACTAAGGAACAGAGCATGGGTGGAAAAAGCTTTTTACTCTTAGAAGTTAAGCCAGTTCAACAGTACTACTATCTGTACTATAGACTTCTCTGTCACTTTATCTGAGATGACTTTAGCAGTTATCAATCCTGATCTCAGACAGATGATACCCAGACGAAGCTGTGGCTGTGCTTCGCATCTCTTTTATGAGCAGCAAAGCCACACTGCATGCCTGGCATCACAGCTCCTTTCAGCACTGGTAAAATGTGGCCATGTGCCAGCACACCCACTTGACAGGCATCAACCTGCTTGTAACATGCCTTCTTCCCCATTGCAAATTCATGCATTTCACAAAGTCCCTAGGGCTGCTCGTGTTGCAGAAACAGATAGTGTCAGATACAAATCTTTCCTCAACAGTGGCTGCCACGTGGTATCACACCTTGCTTTAGCAGAGGGCCTCACACTACACCTCAAGCGCACACCACCTCCTTGTCCTCTGATTTCTATTGCCAGTGAAGGTGATGTGCAGACAGGCCCGGCCCGGCCCGGCCCAGCGGATTCCCACACTGGGACAGCTATTGACATACAGGTCCCTCAAAATCCCAAGACTCCAAAGGAGCGGCTGGGAGGCTAAGGCATGGAATAGTATATAAACACCGCACAGAAACGGCCCCGCCGAGAAGCCGTTGTCCCCGTTCGCCAGCGAGGCCGTAGGGCGCCGCACACAGCCCGGGGTAAGCTGACCTCCCTCCGCCAAAGCCCGGCAGTCAACCACCATCCCGCCGCCATCTTGGATGTGGGCAGGACTAGCCCTGCTACTCTCTGTAGGGAAACAATGCAGCGACACCCCAACTCTTCAAACGACAGGGTGAAGAGATTACTGAGGAAGCGGAATGACCCGTCCGCTAAGAGACCTAAAGTTACATTAGAAAATAAATCCGAATAAAAAACCCCACACAAGCCACTGCCCGAACTGTCTCCCACAGGCAGGGACACAGGCGGCTTGCCCGCACTTAAAATGGCACTTACTTCCGCCGTCGCCTGGAAGCCCCGCCCCAGGCAGCAAGGTACGCGCCTCTGTGTGCGTGCGCGCGCCGCCCCCCCCCCCCCCCCCCCCCCGTGACACACGCGTCCGGAGACGCAGCGCGCTGCGGGGTGCCTGCCCCCCCCCCCCCCCCCGCCTTCCATCTACCCCGGGCCCCGCCCCGCCCCTCCCCTCCCCTCCCCGAGCTCCTCCGCGCGCGCGCCGCGGCCCGGCCGGAGACCCGGCGGACCCGCACCGGCTGCGGCAGTGCGATGACGGCGCGGCGGGAGGCGGCAGCGGGCCCCGGTTCTCCCGGCTGCCCTGGCTCCCCCTTCCCTCGCGCCGGCAGCTGGGCAGCTGTCTGGCGGGTCGCGGCGCTGCGCTTGGCCCTGGCGGTGCTTCTCCACACGGCTCGGGCCGAGAAGGAAGGTGAGACCCAGATTTCTTTTCCTTTATGTCCTTCCTCCGGCGGCTGTCGTGGAGCCGGTGGCGGCTGGGGCTCTGGGGAGGGGACGACGCGGGCGCGTGTCTTGGTGGGGGAGCGGCTGGTGGGGCGAGCGGCCTCTTCGCCCCTTCCCCCTCGGCGGAGTCGCCGGGTCCTGCAGCCGCCGACCGTGCGCTGCCGTGTCCCTCCGTCGTCTCCGTCCCCTTCTTCCCGGCCGCGGCTGCCGGGGTGCGCCGGCGGGTCTGTGTGTGTGGTGGCGAAAGAGATGAGGGTTGCTGACTCTGTAGTGAACTCGATGGGGTTTCTCCCCCCTGACAGCAGTGGAGCTGGAGCTGCCCTTTAAAAAGGAGAGAGGGGAAAGAAAGGGGAGGGAGAAAGAAAAAGGCAAGCGCTTTCTCGCGTTGAGCTGGTTTCCCTGCGGCAAGCTTCCAGTAGGAGAGCGAGCCAAGGCAAACAGGCGGGCAGACCTGGCTGAGAAAGGGCAGAAATGCAGGCTCGGAAGTAACAGCGGGACCCCCTTCGCCTCGCCGAACTTCTGACAGGTGTCTGACGTCTTCCCCAGGCCGGTGGCGTTTTCTCCAAACTCTAGCGAAAGTCAGAACTTTTCAGGACTTCTTAACTTGCAGCGTCTTAGATTTTGGCACGTTGTCTTTTCATTGTGGTTTAACTAGGCAAAAAGAGCCCCGAGCGAAACACCTAAGCATGTTCCGTACCATTGCTGAGAACGGCATTAAAGCATTTCCAAGGTGCAGGCTCCCGGTCTGCTTAAAGCTGTGTCTGTGTGGCAGTGTTTGAAAAGCAGCAGATAAACGTAATGTGTTGCAGAAGTAGGTGAAGCAGATCTACTTTGACACGAGCATTTGCTTTTCGAACAAGTTGCTGCACTGGAGGAGGATATGCTGGAAGGCGGTTGAAGTGTATGAGGGCAGATGAGGTCTGAGGGGATGAATAAAAAAAGAATAAGAAGGGTATGAAATAACAGTTTAGTGAGTTTAGTTTAGTTAATTATGTTTCAAGACCAAACTCGAGGGAAGAAATGCATCCTAGCAGTGCATGTATAAGAATAAATGTAGGTACACCCTTAATTTTCTAATGAAAGGCTCAACTTGCGTAATTTTCCAGTAATTCATTTTTACAAATATGATGATACTGATATTAAGATGGTAAAAAAAAAAAAATTTGCATCACGGCCACTCTTTTTTATTTTTCTTCAGAAAATGTAACATTTAGAAAACAGTGTGAAGAAGATACAATATCCTTAGTGAGGAGAATTTGTAAGTCTGTCAGTTCAGACTATACTGTCTTGAGGTGCTAGAAGTTCAAATGCTTCAGAAATACCTGGTTTTTGATCCTGATTTTGATAGCATTTTTTACAGGTGGTAGCATGTAAGCTTTATCAGTGATGTCATATACTGGTATGATGGAGTTGATTCATGCCCTAAAACTTGTGACAGCTGGGGCCATGGCCTGGCTTTGTTAATTTGTGAAGGAGGCAGTGTTTTTCTCTATGGGCTTCCTTGGCACTCCTAAATAAACGAAGGCAGGTTTAGATTCACAGAGATTAAATGGATGTGATTAAGTCCTTCAAGAAAATGGACTAGCTTGTACTGATAGCCATTTCCTTCAATTGATACAGTCTAATACTTAAAACTTATCCTAGCAACACTTCTGTAGTTTTCAAAAAGTGGATTCAATTTGAATATATATATATATATATATATATATTTTCCTTTTCCGATTTCCAACACTCATTTTTCTTCCCAGGATTTCTGCTGCTTGAGTGTAGTCTACAAGTGGTGCATTTAAGCTCACAAAGTCTTGGTTTGGTGGTTTGGGGTTTTGTTGGTTTAGATTTTTTTATTTTTTTTTAATTTGCTTGTGGGTTTTTTGGTGGTTTTCGTTTTGATTTTTCGGGGGGGGGTGGGGGGGGTGGTTTAATCTGTTATGAACCCTTTAGAATTCCTTCATGATCTGCATTTGTGGATCGCACTTTGCAAACTGTTGTCTTGGAGCCTTTCTTTTGCTGAGTGGAATGCCTGTTGATACTCTGGGTAAAAGAACAGTGGAGTTTTAAAGCAAGACAGTCAAAGTGACTTGTGAGATCCACTCACACTGATCTTAAACTACAGTCTAAGTGCCAGTCTGCAAGGGGCAGTAACTGAACATAGGAAAAGATGGACCAGCTTGGACAGTGGCCCCTTAGGCCAAGGTAGGAGCTCAAAATGGACGAGGGAAGGGTGCTTCAGGCTCTGTCCTTCAGTGCCTTAGCCTTTTGCCAGGTTGTGTCAATTTAAACATAGTAAGACAGAGTTTCAAAAGAAAAAGCTTGAAGTAAGGAAATAGCTAGGAATATCCTTTACGTCTCCCAAATGTGGGCATACATGTTTCACTGCAGCTGCAGGAAGGAAGCTGCGGAGAGAAATTGGTTGTGCATTCTTCTTGCTCCTGTGCTATTTCTACACTGCTTAGTGGAAGGTGACTGTAGTAAGACAAAGCTTAGTATATATTCCAGAGAAGTTGCTAACAGAGAAATGATAGAAGTGACAGAGGAATAGATCAGAATATTGCAAAATAAAGTGAAAAATGAAGGTGGAAGACATTCTTTTCCTCTTACGTTGCATGTACCTGAGCAGACACTGGGGAGAGATGGAGCTGATGCGTGAAAGAGTATGCTGGCTTCATGCTCCTATGGAGAAGGAGCAGCAAGCAGTTCTTTATGGAGCTGTTGTGAGTAGGAAGAAAATTGATGCTGGAGTGTTCCAGATTGACATGATTGCTTCTAGTCCCCAATCTGAATTAAAGAGTTGGAGGGTGAAATTATAACATAAACAGCTTTGCCATTTATCTAACAGCAAAAAGCAAAACTGAAGTCCTTTGTATAGGCAAACTGTAAATCAGACTCACAGGGAACAGTGATACTGCTGTACGCTTTCTCTGTGCTAGAGAAATAGAACTTGTGGGAAGTATCTGGTATCTGAATGAATCTGAGAGCAGAGAAAACTGCATGTGGACCAGCCAAAACCCATCAGTTTCAGACTAAACACTGATATGTGACTTTTCTCTCTTTCCTTTTTTTTTTTTTCTTTCTGTCTAGCTGTGTCCTCAGAACCCATGTATTGCTGAGAAATGAATAAGACTGAGGAGGTTGTAAAATGTTTTGGTTTTTTCACTTAGGAAATCTGTGAACCCATAGCAAAAGAATGACATGGCAGGGGAAAAAACTTGCATTCAGTCTTAGAGCCACTTGTCATTTAGGAGGGGCAAAAATAATGTAAGGGTTTCTTTTGCAAATACATATGATTTTCAGGCTTTTTGTAGGCTCATCCTTTCCTAGTGTAATTATCATGTTCTATATTGCCACATGGATTGAGGACAACTTTCAGTTTATATTTGGGGGTGTGTGGTTTTTGTTGTGGGTTTGTTGTTTTGGTTTTTTTTTTTTTTTTTTTTAGTTTTTTCGGGGGGCTCAGGACACAACAGTGTTTTGGGTTTCAGGAAGCTGTAGTAATCCCATAAATGCCATGGTAAAATGATTGATTTTAAGACAGATGTCTAATATCAGCATGTTTTTTTACCTGAGATCTGTTTTGTGGTTGTTCCTGTATTTATATTAATTTATATGTTTTAAAAGTCTTTATACAGCAGAAATTTACTTTTCTTTAAAATCACTTTTTATTTGGCCAGCTGACTGCAAGCCTGTTGGGACTACGTTGGTAGTTCTCTTACCTAACCACCTGCTCACAAGATTGGTGCAATTAGAACAAAGTTGATATTTAGTCTAGGTTCAAACCCTAACTATAACTTTTGAAATAATGTCTTAGTGCTGCATCTGTGAAAAAATGCTATTTAAACATCTAAGATCTGATATAAGTTAGGTCAGTGAAAATGCAAGATTTTTTTTCTAAAGCTTGACATATTCTCTGCTAATATCCTAGAAACCGAGATAGTGTAAATGATAGGTAAAATAATCATGGAGTTAAAGGGAGGTGTCATTAAAACAGTGCACTGGCGTGCAGGAGTTCTGGTTCCAGTTTGTCATTCTGTCTTAGACAAGTATCTTTTCCTTTTGACTTTTTACCAGTATCCAAAATGTCAATCCAGGATATTTCATATGAGTATCAAAAGTAGACTAATGCTGTAACGTAATGTGGAAGGTGAGGCTTATGTCTCAAATAATATAAAATAATCTCTTCACATATGCTGCTTGTTTGTCATATCCTGCTGTCAGAACTAATAGATAGCATTTTTATTTTAATGTTAATGTTTTAACCCTGACTTAAATCCAGAAAGAATGACCTCAATAGAACTAAAAACTGTTCTGAAGTAGCTGCTGAAGTAGCACATCAAAATTATGAACAGTGTGAAGAAAACAGCAAGAATAAAAATTGACCATGCTATCTCACTGTCATTTTGAAACTTAAGTATGGAAGAGCTGATTAGGTTTGTACTATGTCTTTGGTCTCGTGAGTGATAAATATTAACAGTGTGCTTGGATTGAAAGGTCTCATACTTGTCTGCAGAATCTTTGGGCTAAATTAAATGTAAGGAAAAATGATAATGCAATGGACAGAAAATTGAGACCCCATGTTCTCTGTGGCCTTATGTGTAGTGCTGAAATGGTTG